ATACTTTAAGCTTTGCTGGAGAAAATGAAATGAAACTTTAAAAAAAAAAAAAAAAGGAATTTGCTGACCTGCGTTTGATTTGCTTTTCAAACAAATCAAATGAGGAAAAACGCCCAGGTACCCAAACTCTTAAGCTACGTGGAGTACACACAAAAACAATACAAAAAAAGTCCGTTAACGAGAACAAATTTGTAAAAGGTAGAAAACCACCTTAAATGAGTTCACCTTTAGGAGCATGCTAAATGTTACACTCATATTTATGATATAAAATGCTCCTCTGCATCAGCCTCCTGCTTCACAATTCCCCTTTCTGTGACAGCTGGCGGGGGATCTTCTCCTCTACCCACTATCGCATTTTGGAAACAGAGTGGCTGTGCAGGGCTTCACCTGCACAGCTGCATCATTCAACTACAGCAGAGGGATTTCTAGTATCAATGAACTGCAAGCCTCAGCACAGCATATTCATAGTTCATTCAAAGTGCCTGCAGCACAGGAACTGTCTTCAGAGAGCTTTAGGCAGTGTGTGCAGGAGCCTGACATTGCACCTATGATCCACTGATCACAGGTGCAATGCTCTGACAAAATTATAAATGCATTCTTTTCCAAACGTGCATTTATTTTTTTTTTTCACAAAGGTAAACTCAGCCTTTACAGTTGAGCTCCATAAATCTTAAAGAAACTAAATGCTTTCTCAAAAATAACAGCTTGATTTCTTCTTCTCAAAGCTGCACTGACTAAACCCCTCAATTAAACTGCAGCTACACACAAATGTCTATATTTGCTAGGAGTACCAAGAAGAGTAAACAAAGTCACGTGAGTGGAACCTTTCCCCTGCAGACACTTACTATGGATGGAATAGCAGCCGCTCTCTGCTTTAGTTGTTTCAGGTCCATTGGTTTCTGAAGCGAGGAGTTCACACGCATGTCATTGCCTGTGTTTAGCAAACTGGGCCGGGGAGACAGCAGCCTGTGTACACACAACAAAAAGGTCAGTCATTTTATTCACACGCAGGTTAATCACTACTTATTAAGGAGGTAACCATTTCTACACCATGGTCTCTTAGCAAATAACACAGGATGACAGCAGAACAGCATGTAAAAAGAACACAGCATATAACGGCTTGCTTATAGAACCTACACAGGATAAAATGTAAGCTATTGTTAAAATCTGCCTATATTTTGTTTGTTTAAGCACACTTTTCAGATTTTTTTTTTCTTTTAATAATTGGCAATTAATGCTGTTCTTTCTCTGCTGCACTTGGCTTGGAAAATCTGCAAGAGCTAAAAAAACTCTTCATAGCTTAATCACTACAGTAAAAATCAATCCCTAAGCAGATAGAACAAATAGCTTCTTGTGGTGTAAGCTACACAAGTAGCATGAGGTAGCAATCATTCACTCTCGATTAAAGGACTGTGTGATCATGAAAGAATAAAGTATACAGTGCTCAGCATAAATGAGTACTCCCCAACAGATTTGTCAGAAAATCTTTACTTTCCTTTCAGAATCAACATTTTCTATGAGACACTATACTACAAAATATTCCTGCAAATTCAGGCCATTGATTGCAAACAAGATTTGTTAATTCACACACACAAAAAGTACTTTTTTCCTAACAAATTCATACAAGACCATTTTGCAAAAAAAATGAATACACCCCAATGAAATTCTTAGAAGGAAAGCTAAATTTCACCCCCAGTTCATATCTATTTTCTTCCTCTCAGTTTTGGGGTCATCCTGGACCCCTACACAATTTTTTGGAAAATTAGCCTTTTCATCTTAAGCAATGTTTCATTGGATCTTTACCTATGTACCGCCTCATATTCAGAAATAATCATTTTGACTTACTATGTTGTTTTGGCTAAGTTGTGATTTTTGTACATGCGTACATGAGAGCCCATTGCCCGTGACACGCAGGGAAGAAGTCCCTGCACTTCTTTGGAAAATGCAGCCCGCACGGGAACCTCGGTTCCCAGTACGGTTGCGGTTTCCAGTGAGGGCAGCATGCCATTAGAACTAATGGCACCCGCCCGCGGGTCCGCATTTCTCACTGCAGGTGGTGTGGCTGCACAGATTTTTGTGCGGATCCGCAGCGGCACCACCCGCACAGATGTGAACCTAGGGTTAGACAACAAAATCCTCATTAACAAGAATTCCACCACAGCTGAGTCTAATTGTTCATTAAACAGGTGTCCAGCAGACAGTTGAATATAAAAGGGCACTACTTAAAGAAAACCCCTTCTCATTTCATCCTGTCAGCAATAGCACCACATAGAAATGTCACAAGGCCTCAGAAAGAAAAGTATTTCTTTACACAAGAAAAGTGAAGGCTACAAGAAGATCAGCAAAGCTTTACTTATCAGTCAGAATTTACTGTAGCAAAAGTGATAAAAAAACTTAACAAAGATGGAACTGCAACCATCTCACAGAGATATCCAGGCCATCCACGGAAGTTAACACCACGACAAGAGCGGTTTTTGATGAAAAGGGTTGAAGAAAATCGCCATGCAAGTTCACTGCAGTTAGCTAAAGAAGTAGAAAGCCAAACTGGGGTGATTGTTTCCCATGACACAATACTGTGTGTACACTGCAGAGAAATGGCATGCATGGGTGTCGTCGTCCATGAAGGAAGCCTCTCCTAATGCCCATGCACAAAAAAGCCTGCCTATAATTTGCCAGGTCCCATGCTGAAAAATAAGAAGACTACTGGGACTGTGTACTCTGGAGTAATGAATACAGGATAAATGTTTTTGGAACAGATGGCTTCAAAACTGTAAGGTGAGGAGTACAAAGAAAAATGCCTACAATTAAATGGCAGTGGCAGTTTCCTTCTGTGGGTCTGTATGAGTGCTCCTGGTCTCCGGGAGCTGCATTTCATTTATGGTATCATGAATTCACAGATGTACTGCTCTATATTGAAACAGAAGATGCTACCAGCACTCTGTGCCCTTGATCATACACTTTTCCAACATGACAATGATCCAAAACACATATCTAAGGCCTCTGCTGCATTTCTGAAAAAGAACAGGGTGAAAGTGATTCAATCTCAAGATCTGAACCCAATCGAACACATATGGGGAATTCTGAGGAGACAAGTTTAAGCATCACTCTCCATCCAGCATCCAGGCTCTAAAAGAGGTTGTTCTTGAAGAATGGAAAAAGATAGATGTTGCAATATGTCGCCAACTTGGCTCATTCCGGGCCTAGAAGACTTGGTGCTGTCCTTACAGATCATGGAGGGGGGGGGGGTCATACAAAATACTAGATGTAGCAGTTTTTTTTCTGGGGTGTATTCATTTTTGCATCAACTAATTGGAGTAAAAGATGAGTAAAGATTTTGTAAGCTAAGATATTGTTAACTTTACATTCATGTAATGAGCTAAACAAATGTTCTATAAAACTCAGTTTTGTCAAAATTTTGGGAATTGTTGTGGTGTTCATTGAGATATTGATTAAAATCTTACTTGGTGTATTCGTTTATGCTGAGCTGTATGTCTCAGCAGAAAAAAAAAATATTCAGTATATTTCTGCAGTTGTCTCTTTTATAAAAGCTGCGAGTACAAAAACATCCATGCTGATCCTGCTAGAGATCCAGTGAGCCCTTGAATTCCTGTTTGAGCTGAAGCACTGCTATTGATACAATGAATTCAGGAGCAGTGTTGTCATCCTGCTTCAGTTCTGCTCTACTGGACTACAAAACCCCTCTTCCTTATATCATTTGAGGTGGGGAGGTGTACTGTAATATTTCTATTACATACTTCTATCATAGTTTACAAAGGAAGTTATTTGTGCCATCTGTTTAGTGTATGATCACTACTTTTAGTGAGATGCTGGTTTTACTGAGCAACTAATAATTGCCTCGTGTAGATCTTAGCGTTTAGCTGATCATGAGCAGGCAATTTTTTGGGATTTAGATAAAAGCTGTTGGGTTCATTTGAAATCGGGTTCATTTGAAATCAATTTCTTGTTGCAACTCCTCCTTGCTGAAGATTTATTTTGCTCAAAAATGTGACTTTTAGCCCTTTCCTCTCTTCTGAATTTCTCAAATATGTCCAACAATGTTTGAATTTGTCATAATAGCGAAAATTAGCTAGTGTATTATAAGCTTACACCTCAGTTTTTAATAGTAGCGATGCCTAAAGCCCAACTTTTAGTTGAATGATGACCAGTGTCACATAACCCAAAAGACTGAGAACTCAATAATGACTGCAGGACATCATGGGGTAGATTTACTAAAATTGGTGCACTCACAAAGATGCGAGGCAGGCTGTTAATATGTAGATTAGCTGATCTCCTAAGCCAGAAAAACTTAGTTGTAGCACATAAATATGATTGATAGTGACATGGGAAAACTGTATATAAAAATAATACTGAAAGTACCCCAGTACATTTTCCAGCTAGCCAGAAACAAACCCAAACTATTTAAGTAACTCAGCTTAGATGAAATAAACTAATTAGTGGAGTTATTCTTCAACCACTAGCCTACAGGCACTTATACCCCCTTCCTGCCCAGGCCAATTTCCAGCTTTCAGCACTGTCGCACTTTGAATGACAATTGCGCGGTCAAACAACACTGTACCCATATGAAAGGTTTATCATTTTTTTGTGACAAATAGAGCTTTATTTTGGTGGTATTTAATCACCTCTGGGTTTTTTATTTTTTCTTAAACAAGCCAAAAACCACTGAAAATTTTGAAAAAAAAATGTTTTTTCTTAGTTTTTGTTATAAAATGTTGTAAATAAGTGATTTTTCTCCTTCACTAATGTGCGCTAATGAGGCTGCACTGATGGGCACTGATAGGCTGCACTGATGGACACTGATAGGTGGCACTGATGAGGAGGCACTGGTAGGTGGCACTGATGGGCATTGACAGGCATCACTGATGGGCACTGAAAGGCAGCACTGATAGGCGGCACTGATAGGCGGCACTGACTGGCACTAATAGACGGCACTGATTGGCACTTATAGGCAGCACTGACAGGCACTGTTAGGCAGCACTTACAGGCACTGATAGGCGGCACTGATGCACACTGATAGGCGGCACTGACTGGCACTGATAGGTGGCACTGATTGCAGCACTGATAGGTGGCACTGATTGGCAGCACTGATAGGTGGCACTGATTGGCATTGATAGGTGGGCAGGTGGGCATTGGCATAGGTGGGACTGACTGGCACTGATGGGTGACACTGAAAGGCAGCTCAGATGGGCACTGATATGTGGCATTGATGTGCACTGGTAGGCACTGATATGTGGCATTGATGTGGCACTGATGGGCACTGGCACGAGGCACTGATGAGCACTGACATAAGGCACTGATGGACACTGACAGGTGGCACTGCTGGGGCTACACTGGTCATCAGGGCACACAGTGCACATGTCCCCTCGTGGAAAGCCGATTACCGGCTCTCCTCTCCTCTCGAGCTGTCAGCGTGACAGCTCGAGAGGAGAGAAATGCAGATAAACGGCATTTCCCTGTTTACATGTGATTAGCTGTGATTGGACACAGCTGATCACATGACCGAGCCGAAATCTTCGGCTCTTTCCGTGATTGGTGATCCGCTGTGTCCGAGGGACACAGCACACTGCCGATCGCCGTGCTGTGCGCTCCCTGAGCTGCGCATGCACAGTGAGAATGGGAGGACGTCATATGACGTCCTCCCAGAACGAGAGAACCACCTTGCGCCTGTCATATTACTACATGGCGGGCGGGAGGTGGTTAAAGTTCATCTCTAGCCAAGTCTATTTTTTAGTTTAGTTGTGGATTGAGTGAGGAAGAGTAAGTGCCTTTGTCATATTTTCAGTACTGTATCCCCATTGGGAAGATTATTGGGGAATAATCAAAAATAATCAAAACAAGTGGGGAAAGGCAAAACTTTTGTTAACTGTATTGCTGCCTGTGCCTTCCTAAACTGGTGACTCCCATTAATTTCTTGCCCTGATATTGAATAGACAGGAAAAGAGGGGAAGTCTCCCCTATGGGAGCAGTTTTGGCTGCAGTTGGGCTTTCAAAACCAGCCATACCTAATTACTATATATTGGAAAGTACAAGGAAACCATCCCGGATGTAAAAACACATTACATTTTGTTCAATTGTAATACAATTATTATAAAAGAATGTTCTGTAACACTAAGGGCATACAACCTGTATCATTAATGTAGCAGATCATGCTGTCAGGTAACACATGACCTTGACTAATTTATGGCTCTTGCATTAGTTTTCTGTGACAAATGGGTGTTTTTGGCAATTAAGAAAACTGCCCTATTTATAAAGGTGGTTGCATTAGCAGAAGAAAATTCTACACATACTTCTTTTACATTAGGAATTTGCAACTTGCTTCCCTTTAAGGATGAAAGTGTTGTACTTCACAGTATTTTTGGAGGGTGTTTTGGTTTCTTTTGCCATTTATATTTTTTTTTTAGCCAAAGACTAATAGAGCATAAAATAATTATTTGCATTGCTCCAACTACTACTTTACAATAACCTCTTGTTATTTTTGGTACTTGTGATGGAAGCGATTACAAGCAAACACCTGGAGGGGCTATTGGTTCCCTTCGGCACAACTCACCAAAATTTGAGTAGATAAAAAAAAAAAGGGGGAGCTACTTGAGCCACCAATCACTAAGGAGTCTGACGAAAAATTTCTATGTAATAGAAGAATTTCAAGCTGAGAAGACTTCACAAACAAGCCCAGAACATCATTCCTCGATACAATGTTTGTCTCTATTGTCAGCTAAACATTTATTAAGCCTTTAAGTAGTGTGTCTGGAAATCATCTTTTCCTATCGGCAACCAGCAAACACTTAAAATATGGCTGTCTACAAATATAGATCCTTCAAACAAAGGTGAATTGTACGGAACATAAGGCAGCAGTCATTACTGGGAAAAAGTCTTTCCAGTAGACACTTAACTGAAGAGCCCTTTTCGAGGAAGCAATTCACTTCAGGCATACAGACGGTGCAGGTGAAATGTTGTTCTCATGAGGTCAGCTAATTGGGCTGCTTCACAGAAAACAAAAAGTGCTGTAATCCAAAGAGAGGCTGCAGCACACAGGTGCACCTCTCTGCCATCAAAATAACATCCGAATTAGAATAGAGAATAGCTTCTGGTAAGAGCTGGCCTGACACAGCCTCCATCAAGCTTGATGCCTGTACAAGTCTCTCACCTACTACTATTTACTATTCTGAAGTTGAACTTTTGTATCATGTGAAGGACATGCAACGACTGCACATGCAAGTCAGATGCTGACTGAGATTTCTTATATTCCACAAAAGCAAGGATTAGTACGAATATTGACTGCCCTCCATTAACAGATTGGGTCTAATATGACCTGGCAGATTGCTGACCTATGCAAGGGTTAACCTCATTATAATGGTTAAAATACAGAGACAGGGAGAAGTACTGGCAGAAGTATTTGAGAAATGCAAACTACAGCAATAAAACATTTACTATTCATTTTGTGCAAAATGGGCATATACAACAATAATACTAGTACCAAGGTTATGGAAGAGACTGCAAGACAAACCTTTCACAAGAGCAGGCTTTTCCTTCATTTAAATTAACAGGGCACCTTAAACGTTATGCTCTGCTATCAAGGAAAGCTTTTCTGAGAAAAACAAAGTTTGTCATCGCTGACATCTCTTTTCAAAAATGCTAGTTGTCTGGCTGCTGTTGTGATGATTTTCATGTTACAAAAACCTTTGATTGTTTGATCTAGAACAAGCATGCAGGTAAGTACTTCTGGCTTGGGATCCACAGCTTTCTGGCGGGATAACGCAGGTGGGTTTGGACACCTCTGAGCTCATCCTTAACTGGAGCAAGTATGCAAATTACAAACATTTGCATACTTGTTCCAATTAGGGATGAGCCCAGAGGTGTTCAAACCCACCTGAACTATCCCGCAAGGAAGCTGTGGATCCTAATCTTAATAGAGAAGTAGAGCCAAAGCCCCTGTGGCTGTACTTCTCCTGTGGATCACAGGAGTGCAGCTTGTTCTGTACTCCTGTGATCCGTTTTCAGCTGTCAGCGGGCTAAAGTATGCTCTTGGTTGATATCACTCAACTGGTCCAGGATGGGGAAAAATCCCACCTCTAAAATCAGGATCCATCCAGACGTTTGGACCGGTACCTGGCTCAGCCTTTCAGCGATCCACTAAGAGCTTGGGCCAGCCGCTACCTCCTCCACAGACAAGCGCTCCAGTGAGTGCTGGGGGGGTGGCAGAGCAGACAGTGGTGACTGACAGTCATCACTCTCTGCACAGAATGGCAGGGAGAACTGAGCAATCAGCTGTGTCTGCTTGCTCAGTTTCTCACCCTCACAGCTGGGGGGGGATCAATGCTGCATCCACCTAGGTAAGTTAATTTTAAAAAATAAAAAAACTATTCCCATACTTCTCTCGTAGGCAGCGGAGCCATTGCCTACTTGGTGGGGAATGCCTTCATCACTTATGATTGGCTGTCTGCGGTGACAACTTCCTGGCAGGATAGCTCAAGCGGGTTCTGTAGCGTGTCAGAACATGCCAGAGCTCAACTCTGTTCCTGATCTGTTACTCAGGAACTGTTAAAGCAACAATGTCAGCATAAAAGCCAGGAATATGTTTCTCTTATTACATGCTTACTTTAGATACCAAGACAAATGTAATTTTGCATAGTGTGTTTAATCACACTAATAAAGGCAGATGGCCAAACAGAGATGACTAGTGGCTGGGCAGTGCAGAAAGACTTGATGTTGAATGCTCAGTCTAAAAGATTCTGTATAGATTTACTGGCCTCCCTGATGTATTTCTGATGACAAAGCAATATCAACAGCTATGAATGCATGTACTATACTTGTCAAGCAACTTGCCAAACCCTCAGCTTCTAGTTCTCTGCAACCACACAAGAGGTTAACACTAAACACAAGTCACATAGTAGCAGAACATTTTCACTGTTACAGATCTCTGGAATTGCTATTGTTCTCCTTTACCTGTTTTTGTCAGAAGAATCCTGTTCTTCAGCTTCATCTGCACTGCAGGTGGCGCTAGAGTCACTGTCTGTATTTGTCTTTCCGCCATGTTTGCTGTGCTTCTTTTCTACTTTTTGTAGTGCTTCTGTTGCTTCCTTTGGTGACTCTTCTGGATTCTCATCCACATCCTCTTTGCAGTCCTCCAGTTCTTCCTGTTTGATTTCACTAGTTCCTAGTTGCTCATAGATTTTGCCCTCACACTCCTCTTTTTTCACTGTACTGAACTCTGGCTCTTCTTTGGTCTCCTCCCCATTACTAGTCCTTTCAGCAAGTTCCTGAGATTGTGGAGAAGCAGAGTTACCAGAATTTACCGGCACCTCACTGTCCCCTTCTACCACAGGCTCTATTGTTGGCTTGGCCTCATTGTCTTTGCTCTCTTTGGCTTCTTGTCTTGGGTGAAGGAACACTCTCTGTGTCCGAACTGTTGTTAACTGCTGCTATTGATAGAAAAACAAACATGAATGTACATAGTAATCCTCATCAAACTTCAAATCATTTGGGAATATGACCATCAAATTAATTTATACCTGCAGTTTATGCTACAAATCTAACACCTATGTCATATAAATCTGATTTTATATTAAATAAATCAGGTCATCCCAATGTATGTTTAAGTATGTTTCCTTGTGACCACCAAGCTGGCCATTTATTATGTGGTGAACACTAGTGGGGAAATCACTGGGCCAAAAAGAACCACTCCACCCCAGGTAGGTACAAAGGGAAACAGCTAGGGAGGCAGGTAGTCAAGATTTGTTTCCCACTGCTCACTGTCTGCTCACCCTTGTTGAGTGACAGACCCAACTGAAGAACAGAAATGTTTAGGAGGTGTAGCATAGAAAGGGATGACACTGGTCCTGTCCAGTCACAGCTGGTGTGAATAGGTTAACAATGTAATGGTGTGATAGGAACACAAAATGCTGACACAGTAAGCTTTCGGTTTCCAGGGAGTCCCCAATGTGTCTAACATTTAGAAGTACAACTTTCATTACCCTAGTAGACTCTTCTTTCTTCCAATCAATTGACCCTAAAGTACTGTATATCCAAACCCAAAAATGTAAAATATTGCAGCTTACCAGTCCGTACACATAAAGCCACATTAGTTCTCCTTTTTCACCTTCATTTTCATCTAGTAAACCAGCCAGTAACGCACTTACTGTCCAAAGATGACAACACTCACGCTCTGTACTATATGTATGGATGGGCAATGCTGTCACCCTAAGCTGCTTTCCTGATTTGGACTTCAAACACCTATCCTTCTCTTCATCTGCATAATATATTGGGAGGAAAAGAAGTGGTGAGAGCTGATATCACTTAGATTTTAATTTTGTATATAGGAAGTTACAAGCACACTGAATTAATATCAGAATCAACAGATACTGTATTTTTCTGCACTTGCAGAAAATGTACTTAGTTTACAAAAAGAAAACTAATGAAGCCATCACATCTAAGGGCTGCTAAGCTGCGATTTCTAAAATTTTTGTTGTTTGTTTTGTTCTGAGTTTAGACTTTCAATGTAACAAAAAACGATCAAAAATACTTTTAAAATGAAAAAAAAAAAAAATTGATTATCTGGACGTTTTTAGGCCACACGAAAAGTTTAAAAAACTGAAAATCTTACTATCTCCCTCCTCT